GTGTTTGATGAATAAAATAATAATAAAAGACAATTAAAAACTAAAATCGGGAAATTGTCTATATACCAAACTGAATGATTGTAGTTCTCTACTTCAAAAACAATTTAGATTTTAAAATGGAAAAAACATTTGATTTCTTGAATTTTGTATTTAAAAAGTCAATGTATAACATGGATGTATAAACACCTGCATTTTATTTCAGTGTTAAATTCTGTTTAAAGGAACAGATTATAATTGAAAATGTGTCCAGGCCTTTGCTGGTTGATGATTTTCTTTATTCGGAGAATGCATATTTTTAATTGGTGACCTCTGCTTTATAAATTGGACCAAAAACAAAGCCTTGTTTTTTCTTAGAAAACATGCAAATTAAAACGGACGAACGGGTCCACCCCTTTGAATAGGGGACCCGTTCGTCTGTTTCATTTTGCATGTTTTCTAAACAAAAACAAAGCCTTGTTGGCTTACTGGATAAAACCTGGAACTCAACGCTATTCCTGACATTTTGAATTGAAAAATCTTCCTGGATGGAAGAGAAACGTCTTCAAACTTTGAAACAAAGTCCAGTGGATTGATTTTCTTTTACTTTTCGGAATGACTATAACCTGGATGACTGAGAATCTTCACCAGTAAGTTTAATGGTGCATCAGTGCAGATCTAACGCACTGTTTCTAAGTTGATAAAAGTAGTCTCCTCAGCAGACTCTTCCTGCTGAGGACACTGAGGTCTTTAGGAGTGCAGGGGGAACTCCTAAAGCCATCTTCTATTGAGCTGCCTGTTGGAGCAGTGGCTTATCTGTAGCTAAGAGAAAGCAGCTGGATCAGCTGATCAGGAAGGCCAGCTCTCTGATTGGATGCCCTCTGGACTCAGTGCAGGAGGTGGGAAACAAAATGATCCTAACTAAATGATCATCTCTGTTGGATAATGTCTCCCAACCCGTGCATGAAGCTGGTGCTGAACTGGACAGCTGCTTCAGTGACAGACTGCTGCACCTTAAATGCACCAGGGAGCGTTATCACAGATCCTTCCTCCCAGCAGCTGGAAGACTCTAGAACCACCACTGTTCCCAACGACCTCGATAAGATGTTCCATTCATGCTGATTTTTGCACAGTTTCTACCTCAGTCAGTTAAATAACCTGCTGCTGTCATTTTGCACATCTATGATGTTGCTGCTATTTTCAAATATCCAATACTGTAAAAATGTCCATAGCTGGATATTGGTTATTTATTCTCCAGGTGCACAGTTTTATATTGTGAAAACTAGGGGTGGAACGGTTCGGTTCTGTTCGCGGTTTCGCGTTCACGGTTTTCGGTTCGGTATATGTTGATTGTTAGCCTGACATGTTGGTCGTGTTGCTGTTAGCATAAACAAAACGTGTTGAACAATGCTTGCACACTGTTGCACTTTGATCCACAACTTTCTTTCCGCCGTCATCGTAGGTCACTCTAAATGCAAAGTGGTCCCATACAGCAGACCTATAAAATGCTGCTGGCGCGTCTTCCAACTCCTGTTCTTTCCCACTCGCCATACCCACACAATTCTCCACAACAACTGATTTTTTTCTGCTACACCCGGCTACGCTGCTTCGCTTCTTCTTCTTCTTGTTTACTACTGGTGGTTGGCTTTGGTCGCAGTACCGCCACCTTCTGCTCTGGAGTGTAAACGCTTCCTCTATGAGAAAAAGGAGCAGCGCATGAACCGAACGCAACACACGCGAACCGAACCGAGACAGTCGAACCGAACGGTTCGGACGGTTTTCATAAACCGTTCCATCCCTAGTTAAAACACTTTTAAAGTATTTTGTTGTTTATCTTTTAATTCTTCACTACACATATTTCTAAGGTCCATATTTGTGTGACCATTTTTTCTATAATCTTTTTGTTGCTGTAAACATCAAAATTCCCCCATTGTGGGAAAATAAAGGGATTTTTTATTTTATGTGAATCAGAGGCGATTGGTAAACTGCTCTTAAAAAGGGCTAAACATGCTCAGCAATACTGTGGGTGAAATGATACCCAGTAGGTATTAAGCAGCCCCATAGTATGCAGAAAAATCTAGCCTGAAATATTTCTCTTCTTTCATCAACTGAGGAATCAAAACAGCCTTAATCTCGTTTATCTTTAACTCTGATGCTCTTTAGAGGGAATCATGTGTTGATGAACCTGGAAAACTTCCTAAAACATGTAAAATCAACCGTGAAAGTTGGAGAAACGATCTGCACCTCAGGGTTGTTTTCTGAACCACATTAGGCTCTGATTTCATTAGATCCCATCGTTTGTGGGAGATTGATCCTGTTTGGATTACTTTGGCTCTTAGATATTCGCCAGACATTTAATCTGACTGATAAATAGAAAACTGTTTTAAATGTTGACCTTTTACTGGTGTTGATTACAAAGTGTTTAGATGGATGAAGGCTCTTTGGCACAAGCAGAGTTTAGCTCAGCACTGTTATTCAAATCAAACCCAAACTTTGCAGCATGTTTTATAATCCGTTCCTTCAGGTTTTCCTGATTAGATTTTTAGTTTTGACAAAAATCTTTAAATTTCTCTTCATATTTAATTCTTTTATGAATTTCCATCTGTATTTATTGGCACTATGTGGGCTGATATGAGACTCTAGTAGGATAATAAAAAAAAAAAAACTAATCTGGTTCAAAGCAGATGATTTAGATCCATTTCTAACATCGTTTACTCGCGGCATAGAAAGGCCTAGCAGCTCCTGGGTCCATGTAGCCGGTCCATTTTCAACGCATTTAGTCAATTTAAAGGAAAAGTAATATGTAGCCAACATTTGGAAGAAGAATGTTTTCAAGATGACTTGGATAATAGCGCGTTGTGACAAACACCAGATACAGCACTGGGACTTGATCAACAGCCGATACCGCACCGTGACGTCACTAACCAGTAGGTGGCAGTAGTGTTCTTTGACAAACATGGATGCCTCCAGTAAAGCACATTCACATGAAAATTACTCTAAATTAAAAAGACTAATCATTTATTGAACAGGATGGAATCATTTCATATTTAAAGCAGTTTCAGAATTTGAATTCTGAATATAACCAGACTTTTCCGGACTCTTTGTATTATTTCCAGCCGCTACGAACGGCAGCGGGAAATCCCGCACAGCCTGGACGTAGCAGAGAGTTTTCAGCTGGGATTTCCAGCGCTGCCTCCTGGTGGTATGCTGGAGGTCTGCCGCTCCAAACAAGAACTGCATATTTTAATGGGATCATAATCCTGATGAACTGATGAACAAGGGATGCTTGGAGGTCGACTTTCTCAACTGAAACCTGTTAAATCTATTTTTCCAACTCAAAGTAAATAAAGACTCCACAACGATTCCGAGAATTTTTCGATCAGGTCGACCTTCAGCCTGATGGTGCGTGATGTAATGTACAGGCGGTAACTAGGGGCGATCAGCCTCTAATGACCGCCTCCTGATCAGGAATCATAAGGTCGGGAGAAAATCAAACATGTTTGAAATTCAGTCGGCCGTCTTAAGGTGGTCGTGGGCAAATCGCTCAGTGGGCAAACAAGGATTCTTCTTCTTCTTCTTTCTATCAGATGAAAACACAGAAGCATGGCGGGGGTGCAAAATCCCTCCGCCGTCGGACTAAACTCGCCCCCACTTCCTCGCCGCCTCGGCCGTATCTAGACCCACAGCGTGTAACGCAGACCACGCTGCAATATTGAGCATAAATCAAAAATGTCTGTATCAAGCTCACTGCAACACACTGCTGTTTGTGTATAACCAGGAAGCGAGGTAGGAGGGCAAAATAGGTTTAGCGCCACCGCAGCACGGGAGGAGAATTACATCCAGGAGCAAATGGATAAAAATAGACCGGAGGAAAAAAAAACATGAATCGATTCTCTTGCTGACGTATCGATGCATCGGATCGTCGGCTGTTGGATCGATGCATCGATACAAAACGATTATTAGTTACACCCCTAGTAGCCACGTTTGCTCCGCCATGTCTTTGTCCAAATACGTCGTCTTCTTTTCTTTTAAGGGCTTTCAGCACAAACTTGCACAAATTGCCAAGGCAGCGCGTTTCACTCTAGTGAGCTTCATGTTCCTCTTCTACTCGTTTGGCTTCTGGATAGACGAGTCCCAGTAGCGCCATCTCACTGCGGAGCTGAGACCCACCTGGTTTTTAGACGTACATTGTGAGCAGGTAGATTGCATCAGAGCGTCGGGTCGCACAGTGTGAGAACAAACATCCCTGCGGTTTCGTTGTACAGTTTAAGCTGTATCTGCGTCCAACAACTGAAAAAAATCATACAGTGTATGCCCTGCTTAACATCATCAGGACGTACACCCAGTGTTTATAACCTTATTTTTTATATAAGGTGACTATAATCTGTTAGGATCTTCTGATCAAATACATATAAAATCTTAATTAATCAGTTGATGAATGCAGAACTTTCAGAGTCTGACTGAAGATTCCTCCGTCCACTAAAACCAAACAGCTGTGACTTACTGCTGGGAATGTGGAACTCAGCAGGGTTTAAAAAAAAGCACCAGAGGTCAAGGAGCAGATTTGGATTTCTGCAGTTTAAACATTTTTATCTTTAGAGTCAGAGTGAGAGATTAGTCCTGAGCGTAAGGCTGGTACATGCTTAGAAAGTGGATGAAAATCTTCCTGTTGGTGTTTGCTGCAGCTTTAAGCTGCACAGAGAGCGGGGCCAGCTGTCCTGACCTTCCTGCCTGTTACTGTTGTTCTTCAGTAACTTCATACGCTGCGAACAGGAAGGCTCAGCATGCTGTAACACCTGGATGTCCACTTGGCTGCAGCAGTGGAACAATGTGTGCTAAATTTAAACCCATTAGCTCTATACTTAAAGTAGAAACACGCAGGCAGACACTGAGCTCACTTAAAGAAAAGTGAAGCAGCTCTAATGTAGAGGAAAAACAGGACCCGACTTGTTTTTGAGACGAGAGCTTCCAGAAATCTATACGCCGATGCTGCAGAACAGGACATGTCTGTTTCTGTGTCCCACCTGCTGCCTCTGGTGTCGTACGGTTTGATGTTTTTAATGAAGTGGATCTTCTTGGTCTGTCGAGGCCTCGGAGAGCCGCCGGAGAGGTTACGGGTTCTGCAGAGGGAAGAGAACAGACGCACAAATTTAACAAACTGATTTTATTAAGAATGCAACAAAAGCTGAGATCTACCAGCGTTAGAAGTCTGTTTTATCAGAGGATGGGAGGTGATATCCGAGTACATTAGAGAGCATTAGACTCTGATGTTTAGGACGCTTCAGTATGTCTGTTTGTGCTGAAGGTCAGGCCGTGTTGCTGTGTTGACCTCGTGGATTTAAAACGACAGACCTCACCATGAAAGCAGGCCAAGGAGCTCAGCTCCATGACATCACAGCTCTTACATAACACTGTCATCAGCATCAGTTTTTCTCACCCACAAGACGCCTGGTGACACCCGGCTGCAGTTTTTGGACGGACGGGCTTTATCCCAGAACGCACTGATGGAAACAATCATTGAACCATTTTATATGGTCTATTTACGATGAAGTCACCTTCATAGGTTTTTTATATCTGGACCAATCTTCCATAGTTAGTGAGGAAGGATAATGTCTGAAACCTGGAAGTTAAAGCCCTGCTACTACCATGGTTATCAGCTGATTAGCGTAATGAGCCGCTGGGCTAATATTTAGGCAGTTGCAATTATTTTTATGAGAATATCGGCTCTTTGACATCAGCACAGATTCTGCAGAGTGGGAGAATAGAGATAGATGAAGCAGAATGATGAAAAAGGGGTCCCTATGTCCTCCAGCAGTCTAAGCCTATAGCAGCAGAACTATAGAGATACACTATATTGCCAAAAGTATTTGCTCACCCATCCAAATTATTGGAATCAGGTGTTCCAATCACTTCCATGGCCACAGGTGTATAAATTCAAGCACCTAGGCATGCAGACTGTTTTTACAAACATTTGTGAAAGAATGGGTCGCTCTCAGGAGCTCAGTGAATTCCAGCGTGGAACTGTGATAGGATGCCACCTGTGCAACAAATCCAGTCGTGAAATTTCCTCGCTCCTAAATATTCCACAGTCAACTGTCAGCTGTATTATAAGAAAATGGAAGTGTTTGGGAACGACAGCAACTCAGCCACGAAGTGGTAGGCCACGTAAACTGACGGAGCGGGGTCAGCGGATGCTGACGCGCATAGTGCGAAGAGGTCGCCAACTTTCTGCAGAGTCAATCACTACAGACCTCCAAACTTCATGTGGCCTTCAGATTAGCTCAAGAACAGTGCGCAGAGAGCTTCATGGAATGGGTTTCCATGGTCGAGCAGCTGCATCCAAGCCATACATCACCAAGTGCAATGCAAAGCGTCGGATGCGGTGGTGTAAAGCACGCCGCCACTGGACTCTAGAGCAGTGGAGACGCGTTCTCTGGAGTGACGAATCGCGCTTCTCCATCTGGCAATCTGATGGACGGGTCTGGGTTTGGCGGTTGCCAGGAGAACGGTACTTGTCTGACTGCATTGTGCCAAGTGTAAAGTTTGGTGGAGGGGGGATTATGGTGTGGGGTTGTCTTTCAGGAGCTGGGCTTGGCCCCTTAGTTCCAGTGAAAGGAACTCTGAATGCTTCAGCATACCAAGACATTTTGGACAATTCCATGCTCCCAACTTTGTGGGAACAGTTTGGAGCTGGCCCCTTCCTCTTCCAACATGACTGTGCACCAGTGCACAAAGCAAGGTCCATAAAGACATGGATGACAGAGTCTGGTGTGGATGAACTTGACTGGCCTGCACAGAGTCCTGACCTCAACCCGATAGAACACCTTTGGGATGAATTAGAGCGGAGACTGAGAGCCAGGCCTTCTCGTCCAACATCAGTGTGCGACCTCACAAATGCGCTTCTGGAAGAATGGTCAAAAATTCCCATAAACACACTCCTAAACCTTGTGGACAGCCTTCCCAGAAGAGTTGAAGCTGTTCTAGCTGCAAAGGGTGGACCGACGTCATATTGAACCCTATGGATTAGGAACGGGATGTCACTTAAGCTCATATGTGAGTCAAGGCAGGTGAGCAAATACTTTTGGCAATATAGTGTAGCTCAGGATAACCTGAGCCACTCTAACTAGAAGCTTTATCCAAAAGGAAAGTTTTAAGCCTAGCCTTAAAAGTAGACAGGGTGTCTGCCTCACGGACTAAAACTGGTAGTTGGTTCCACAGGAGAGGAGCCTGATATCAGATGGAGCTTGGCCATTTAAGGCTTTATATGTGAGAAGGAGGATTTTAAATTCTTTTCTTTATTTAACAATATATATATAAAATTAAGAAATATACTGAAGGTTGATGGCAGCAGAAACAAGGGCTGGGCAATTCATAGCATTTGCAGTATAATCATAATTTAACAAAATGCAACCATCTTTCTTTGTTTTTATTATTTTTTTTGCGGGTGGTAAAAAACAGCTAGGTTAATACAGCGATCAAAGACATCTTTTGGGACGTCAGGCATACGTGTCTAAATCGGCATGGTGTGACAGGGCCCTAAAGAAGAGTAATGCTACGTTCACACCGGACGCAGCAAAATCGCGTCTGCTGCTTAATTTTTGCTGCTTGTACCAGTTAGTTCTGACGCGCGGCTGAAGCAGCTTTGCTGCTCTGGCTGCGTGGTGCAAAAGTGGGTCTGACGCGCGTTGGGCAGAGCTACTCTATCCTTTCTTTGCCTTGCAGCTATATTTGCTGTGATCAGTGGGAATAAAGTAGTTTTATTATGTTTTTAAGTGAGAAAATACACCTGAAAACGTAATCAGTGCCGTCAGTTCATCCAGATTATCATCCTGCCTTCAATATTTTTTCTGTGGGAGCCGCTCAGACCCCCACATACCAGCGGTGCGCCGACAGTAGGAATCCCTTCATCAGCAGCCTCTGGCCGGGTTGCCTCCTCGCGGTTCACCGCAGCGGCTGGTAGGTGTTTTTCATCTAAATAATCTAAACTGCAGGCAGCAGGATAATAAAAGCGAACATATTCTGCCGGCAGATTTTTTAATTTTAAGTTAATTAATGCGTCAGTAAACTGTTTCAGAGGAGTGATCACAGCGCTCTGTATCATCAGCGCTGTGTCTCTCTCCCTGCCAGCTCCCAGATCAGCTTCTCTGATTGGTTGATGCGGTGCGTCGAGCAGTAAAAATTCAATTTTTCCATCTCGAGCAGCAGCGCGTTTGCGGCGCGTCAGATGCTTAAATGCGCCCGACGCGCTGCTTCAGCTGCTCAGACGCGCTGCGCCTGCTGCTCAAAACGTGCCGCGGGACCTTTTGGTGCGCCTTGACACGCGTCAACCATTGACTTTGCATGTAAACTCGCTGCTTCTGTCGCGCCTGCTGCGTCCGGTGTGAACGCAGCATAAGACATTACATTTCTCACTTCAGCCCTATAGGGAGTGGTAAAACTCTTGAAGTGGAGTTGTCACCACACAGAAAGATAGAACTCTCCACCGCTCGCTCTACGCTCCGCTCTGCTCACATGCTCTGCTACAGATGCCGCCCCTTTAGAGTGCTGTGCATACCCCCGCAGCAGTGTGTCGCAGTTAGCTTGTCGCAGGTATGCTGCAGATATTTTAGATTTATGCCCAATATCGAAGCGCGGTCTGCTCTATGTTATTCCACACCACAATACAAGAGGGACAATCAGGAACTAGCTAGGATTGTTGGCGTCTGTGTGCCGGTTTGATGAGCTTGTTCGCCGTCTACAACCCTTCATCCAATGTCGGACGACACAGTTCACCCGTGAGTGTTCCCCAAAGACTGGCCGTGGCGCTGCGTGTTTTGGCTTTGGGTGCAAACCAACAGACCGTCACACAGAGCTACAAACTAGCGTCCTGCACGGTGCCTGGAATAGTGTCCGAGGTGTGCCTGGTGTGGTGGCTACAGCCAGAGTTTCTGCCATTAGGTACCGAAGAGGAAATACACATAGTGTAGAGCGGATGTAGAATTGACCAATCAGAGTCCTCCTGTCTGCGGCACGGTCTGCAGTCACCTAAAATTTTGGAAAGGTGCACCAGAGTGTCTGCGGAAGGGGGCGGGGCATATCTGTGTTAACTGCAACATACACGCAGACGACCTGGTTTCTGGGCATAAACCAAACAGCAAATCAGTTATGTGAAATTTGTATTTCTCATTCGCTATTTTTTTTTTTTCGGAAACAGTTCCCAGCAAACACGCGCAACCAGTTATATCTACTATATCTGAGGAAATTGTCTTTATAAACTTTTTTTTTTAAATAAAGCATTTTAAATGCCACTGTCATTACATGACAGTAAATATACACACACACACGCACACACCCACACACACACACAGCATCTGTTGCTGTTTTTCTGGGACTGACCTGCTGATTCCGCAGCACATGGGCTTTAAATCACTGTTATCACTGCTGCTCACTGCCTGACGCACTAATGCCAGTTTTCTTTGTGTGTGTGTTATTTAGCAGGAACATCTGGGAACTAAGATGTTTCTCATCAGACACACTGGATTTAAGGCTTTAACACTGATGTTTTACCCTCTGCTGCCCGTTCCACCTCACAGAGACGTTTTCAAAGTGTGTTCAGACTCCATCTCACTAAAATAGTGCAGAACTGCTTTAAATAAGTCATGTCTCTGGGTCACAGGTTGCCCATCGTAATTTTTCTACAGAGGATGATAATATTAAAGGTCAGATCATCTGGTAGCTAAACGATTAATAATAAAATCTAGTTTCTTATTGTCAGAGCATCATCTGTGTACCAACCTGATGGATATTTTAAGCCAGTATTTGTGCTTTCCTCTTGTATAGCAATCAGCAGATATGCGCATGCTGAATTATTAATGCGTACAGCAGCAATTCCTTAAGATCAAGTGAAAGGCATTCACTGCTGCTTTCTCCATCTATAATCATGTTTTATTTGACTAATTAACAAACGTTTCTTTTTCAGTTTAAACTCAGATTAGTTTAAAATTTGCACCGAGCGTACTTCCATTTTTAACATCTTTTAAAGGTTTTAATCGTCATGACATTATTTATGACTGTGACAATGTAGTTTATAAATACTCCATACAACATTGAAATCAAGGAACAAAAACTTTTTACAGGCCCA